GGGTGGGGGGGGGGGGGGGAGCCGGCCCGGGCTGTCCGCGCTGTTGAGTCTTTACATGTAACCAAGTGTGTAAGCCGGCGGGTTTTTTGTTAATAGTTCATATTGTACAGGGGAGTTCAGAAATCTTATTTTTTTTATGCGGTTTTAAATAAAAACAAATTACTTGATGTGATGGAGACATTCCTTTACTGCGGGGGGGGGTGGATTAGGGATGCTGTGAGCGTGCGGGGTACAGGTGACCACACCGTGGGTACCACCGCCGGTTTGTCTTTAGCCGAGACCAACTCCAAAGGTCCCACCCAAAGGCTTGCCAAGCGGCGTTAGCCAGGACCAGCCAGCCGAAAGCACCATGGGGAAGGCTGGATCCATCCCTCCGTGGGGTGTTTCCAGCACAGACTGCTCCTGGGAGAGAGAGATCAAAGGGGTGTGGAGCACTTTTCATTTCCATTCATCCGCAGGCTGGTGCGGGGAGCATGTGCTGGGGAAGGCAAGTAAACAAACATCAAAGCAACCTTACGAAACGCCGGATGTTGTCAGCCAAACTAAATTTTGGTGAGGCAGATCCTGTTGCTCCGGTTCTGTTGGCGCGGAGCGGGTGTTGCATGCCGGGTGCCGGTGGGTGAAGAAAGCCACCGGCGGGCTGTCCCCACCTCCAGCTCGGCTGCAGCGAACGCGGAGCGAGAGGAAGTCGATCTTTGGATTACGAGAAGTCGGTCGCTATCAGTCAGCGGTGGTAACGCTTCGCTCAAGCTTTTACCCTCCAAACTGTCAAACCCCACTTCCCAGCTCTGCGGTGCTTCGGCTTCAGGGGTGTTGTTTTTTGGCTTTGGTGGTTTTCTTTTTTTTGCTTGTTTTTTCTGGTGTTTTTTTTTTTTTTTTAAATTAATTTAACATGCTGAATTTTGAAGCCCTCTTCCTGCTTGACCTCATGGAGCGCCTGCTGCTGTGTGCACTCGGGGCTGCCCCAAGGAAAGGGCACGTTTCCCTTTCTGCAGGTTACTCTGCAAGTCCCCTGGCCAGATCTGACACAACAGGGCTGTTCTTTCCTTGGCTTGCCCCAGGGCTTTCTTGCTTAAAGCCCCCATGCCCAGGGAGCGGTCCCTTTCTCCAGCTCACCCCGGACTTGCC